CTTGGCTCTTGTAATTTTGAACCAGTGATATTTGTCGCAAATCCGTTTCGTTTTTGATGCAATATCAGAATAGTGAGAGACTGAATCCCGTTTTTCGGTGTGCACGAGCCCTAAGTATGCTCCAGAGACCTCATGCGAGATACCACGGGGTGGTCGCAATACGCGAACGTTACGAAGATACGGGGACGATGAAAAATATCTGGTATCTCGAGCCGGGATCCTTCGAACAATGGGATATCTTCGGGACCGAGTTGGCCACGGTGGACAATTATTACCCCGATTGCTGGAAGATAATACTTCATCGGCGATAAAATAATGATTTTCTGCCGATCGAACGGAAATACGCGAAAATTCCTCGATAATGACTCGACAGCGGTCTATTATTTCCATCTCCCGCATAAAATGCAAAATTAACTTGCTCGCGCATCGAAAAAGATTCATTAAATTAAATAAATTTAAAGTCACCAGATACCATGTAACTATACAATTTCCTTCTTTTTTATTATTATTTTTGCAATGAAATTTTTTCAAAAAACTATGATAAAATAATATTAATTTTGAAACGTCATCGATTTAAAATAGGAACAGATATTTCAAAACGTTTATTTAAAAAAAGGGAGGCATCAAATTTTTGCGGCTAGATATATCATATTCCAGATGTCTTATTGCAATAAATTTGTGATTTAATTAACTATCATGCCTTTATGTTACGGCTAAAAATGAATTATGGGATGAATTCCCCGAAAAAAAAAAACGAATCGTCACTGGCGCATCAGTCGGATACTCTCACGGGGTAGCACAAGTGCCATTGCACTTTCGCGGTCTTGCTTCTTTCTTTTCTGACGCAAATCCTGCTCGCTTTTTTCCCTCACCCGCGTTTCCTCCTTTCTCTTCTTCTCGCGGCTGAACGATGTGAACAAATTGGTCGGACGAACGTCACCAGGCCTTCTTGCATTTTTGCGTCTGCCACCCTCTACGTTTCATACACGATCTTCTCCCTCTTCGCCACGCTCGGGGATGCGCAAAACCTCTTTCGGAGAGACTCTTTTCGGTGAACGCGCTTTCTCCGTCGAGTTCCGTCACACGGTGATGACGCAAATGCACGCACTAAAACACAAACGTATTCGACACCATCATGTAATTCTCTAATGGCACATCTTGGGAACTACATCGTAAATGTATCTAACATATCAAGTATCTCGAATTAATTTAAACAAAGAGACTCGCAAATAATGCTAAATAATTTAAATTTATCTCTATTCGAATGACAGTTTGTAGTGAAATTAATAATACATCATTTATGTGCCACGTAAAGAAGGGTACATGCAGACTTTTAAGTTGCCGGAAAAGTAGATTATCTTATAGTGTTACAAATAAAAACGGACAAAATAATAATGGAATTGTCTAGTTCATTTGGGAAAGTCGTAGTCGAAACTTGTTCGATTTTTCAGAACGGATTCAGATTCTTAACCGGACGTGGCACTTTCGCAATGAGGAAAGATCGATCCAATCGTGGTCACATGAAGCGTTTACTAAACTGGTTAAACCGATCGATAGCGAACACCTGTGCGTTTGCGGTCAATAATGATCGCAGTAATCGAACTGTTTGAGATAAAAAGATTTAAATGTCTCGCATGAATAATACACGGAAATATCTTTATATATAAATCCTATATATTTTTTGAATATATATAATAATATAAAGGTTCAATATATTTTAACGGAACGGGATTATAGCGTGCATACGCGAAAAAGACTTTATAAGTTCTTCCTGGCGATTATGATCGATTGCATAAGAGAAATTCTGAGAGAGCATGACGCAATTCTCATGGTCTGTTATAGGAGGAAGAAAAAAGACAGTCGAAGGAGGATCGAGTTATGGATTTCTAAGAAATTAAGGTGCCGGTTGTTTCACAAGTTTTATCATAAATAAAAATTTGTAAGTGAACTTTATCATACAATTTTTCATAATAATTCATTTTCTTAGGTAATATATTTCTTCTTAAAAATATAGATTATGCATAAATAGAACAATTTGATTGATAGAAATTTTTTAGCGTGCGTATATATATATATATATATCCACATATATATAATAAACAATAACGAAAACGTAAAGCATTTAATTTTACACAACATAATACTAATTAAAATGATAATTGACTATAATGTTTCTATGACAAGTGAATTTTTTATCAAATATTACTCGATTTATCGGATAATTTCTTGTTTACGATTATTTTTTTCGCAAGGTTTTTTTCATAATAGAAAAAGATAGAACCGCGTTAAGGAGCTAAAGATAATAAAAAATTTAGTCAACGCGACATATGTAGCGACGGCGCAACTAAATTGTCTTTCTTGAAGAAGCGTGTAAAGAAACACGTTACGAAACATTTTCCCGGTAAAGATACAAATATAACACTCAACTTTATATAGCAATAATAACTTTCATCGACGACAGATTTAGCCGCGCGTTACGGCACGTCTCTCGTCGACGCGCATCTCGAAGATTAATAGGCGCGCGCAAGGCGAAGGGCACCCAAATCAATCAACTCGCTCGGGTACCTTCGAAGGTCGGTTTTACGGAGGCTGACGCTTTTACGCAAGCGGCAGATCGCGCAGATCCGGAAAACGCCTGTCCTGGAATTCATTTCACAATACGAGCGACACGCAACGCGCGCGCGCGTCACCATCGCCGAACCGTCCCGCGAGCGGACAGACACACAAAGGGCTATTGTACCGATCTTTTTCCTTTTCTTTTTTCTCCTTTTATCCCGTAAAGCGTGTCGCGGATCTAATCGCCCACGCGAATGCCTGCGCGCTCTCGCGCGAATCGCCGCGCGCCGCGTCGCGTCGCGCTGCGCCAAGCCGGGCCGGGCTGAGCCGAGCCGAGCCGAGCCGCGTCGCGCCACGCCAGGAGTCCGATTTCAAGGAACGCGTTACGCACATGCGAGTTATTTACTGTCATATCAAGGTTGAGCGCGGGACGCCTGATCTTACGCGATACGCTTCGGCTCTACCGCCCTAATACCGGTGGACACTGTCCGGTTTAACTAGGCGCACCGGCATACCGTAAAATTGCATTCTTTTCTCGTTTAAGAATCGCACGTCCCGCTTGTTTTCGCTAACCCCGATCGATAAAAAGCGCCGGAGCATTGTGCGCGCCCTAAGTTATATACCTTCGCGGAGTTACGGCTCAGATTCTGATCTCCTATTGGAGGACATTGTTTGAAAGTAATAGAACTATATATTGGTGCATGTGTGTGGACAGGATGCAGTTAAGAGTGCGTGACGCACGTAGCACTTGCTCTCAACCTCTGACTTATAGGAGCGCTGTGTCTTAACTTCGAAATAATAAACACGTGTTCTGACATTTTTATATTCGTATCCCCTGCGCACGTAAAAGCACCTACATCCACCACATACCATTTATATCTATCATCGTGCCATAAAACAGTTACACCACCAAATACTGTACCGCGGTAAATAGATAGATATATAATTGCCATATACGCTGCGTAACGGTGAAAAAACTGCAGGATTTCGTCAGCGTCTGAAATCTGAATAAATGTGCTAAACACGCCGAACCAATAATCTTTGAATTAATTTTAATTGCAAGAGAGAGAAAATAGACATTTTAATATTATTACTTCCAAAGTAGTTAATGTATGTTGCAATTATAAGTACGTATTTATAGGAACATATTGCATTATTATTACCACACGGCATTGCCGGGAACGCAGTAAAATTAAATAGACAATAATACGGAAAGTATACGAAATAATAAATACTTTTCTTTTATTTTTTTTTTTCAAGTATGAATGTTACATTATTATCATGCTGGAAACTACGAGAAAATGTTGGGCTACAAATTTCGCGAAAGCACCTAGATACAACCTAGACGACCGAATCGTATCGAAAAATTTCTATTCAGCGCGCATCTCTAGCATACTTTTTCCTCTTCGTACTTTACATGCCGTCGCCGTCTGGTAAGAATGATTGAATAACTAAATACATAACTTTTCGCTACGCTATACGCGACATAGGTCGGAGCGATCGGCCGATCGTCGATAGCCAAAGTCAAAAAGAGGGAAGACGTCGCGCGCGCATGCGCGCCCATCCTTTAGTAGGTCGCTCTTCTGATTTCGAATGCGATCGTCTCTCGGCTTGCCGTGTCGCGTATAGTAGTGATCGCGACAGACGAAATGCGGATCGCGATCGCTTCGTCTCTCGCGATACGTCGACCGCGAGCGGCAGTAAAACGCACGCGGTAAAAAGTGCCTTCTCGTCTAATGCTGTGAACACGAAATCCTCGTTAGAAATTTACGAACGTGTCGCGTCGACGAAGGGGAAAAGAAAATCTCCATTTCTTCTCGCGTTTCGCATCTCGGTGCGTAGGTATCTCGTCCGCCGCGAAGATACGCGCGCGGCAAGAGAGCGGAAGCTGCTAAGTGCGCGGAGTGTTAAGCGACCACGTGTTCGGTGGCCACGTCGTGGAGATTCGCGAATGCGCGAAGGCGGAGTCGAGTGCCGACATCGTCGTCGTTGTGTCGTATATGTACGTTCAGCTTGCCGCGCGTCGCCGCGCCGGTGAGAATCGCGGGTGCGTCGCGACGCCGCGCATGCGCGAATTAGTAGGTCGCCCGCGCTCGGACGGCTCCGGCGACGCTCGGCCGACGCTTCGAATTCGAACGCGCCCACCGACTCCCGCCAGTCCCGCCACACGTTCCGCCGCGGTGCCGTGGCGGTCAGTCGGTCGATCGTACGCGACACACGAGGGTTACGAGGAACCGCGAGGAGCCGCGAGGACTCGCGAGAGGCACACGGCCGCGCACGCGACGAGGAGGGATCGTCATCACAGAGCAACTGGATAAGAACTATTGACGAAAAAGGCACCGGACGAGGAGAGGACGAGGAGGATCCGGTGGATTTTCCATCGTCGTCGTCGTCGTCGTCGTCGTCGTTGTCATCGTCGGCGACCGCGCGAAGACGAAGTCAATTTGATCTCTCCTCTCGATCGAGAGCACTGAGAGATCGATCCTCGCGCGTGAGGACGACAGCTGTCAAAAGTGTCAAGTCGGAAGCAAAGGGGAACAAGATATGGTGTACGGAGGAGGATTCGACATGGTCGAGACGGTAAGTTTTGACTTCAAATTATGTAATTTGTTAACTATGATTTCTCCTCGTATTTTGTGCTTGATGCGAACCGTTTGTCAAACTATTTTATTGCGATTTATTTTAAGTATGCCACTCTGACAATCTATTTAAGAATACATGTACTTATTATTCTAAATCACGTGCGTTACACTTTAATTTGTTTCGTCGGAAGAGTTCTTACTTGATGAAATGTTACATCTTTGCTAAACTAAAATTACAAACAATGAAAAGAATTTCACATTGAGACTAGCACATTGAGACTAATTATTCTCTTTAACAGACAACTTTAAATTTCTGGCAATTCTATATTCTAGCACAAGATCGCGCAAATTTATGTTAATTTCAATTTGTATAGTTTCTAATTTGCTAAACGATCTACATTACATTAAATACTATAAGTTTAAATACTGTAAGAGCGCAAACATAAAAACTTTAACATGAAACCGTAGCAATTTTGCGCAATTAAAAATTTGCGCAATTTATTGTTATCGCTATATTTCAAACCGACAAGTAATTGACAAGACTTATGTGTTCCGTGAACAGATGTAGAGATGCCATTATTTATACATTAGAATGCGGAGAATATTGTAGAGATCCTCCAATCGTGCGAGTCGCAATAACTACGGCCCTGTCGAAGAAAGACACAAGCCGGCGAGTCGGTCGTACGAAAGGCTAACTTTCGAATCTACCACCACTATAAGACCGGCAATGTCGATAGTTAGGTACGAGAACCGAGAAATTCACTCGGCTGGTACGTGATGGAAAATTTCGCGGTAAAAACAGAGGCGAAACCCGCCGCCGATCCGCGGTTTTCTTGACGGCGCAACTTTTACCGAGCAGGTTTTATCGTCTTCCGCAAAACGCGTCTCCTCGACAGGATTGTCGTGCGATTGTTGTGCGGATCGCGTTATTCTTCGATTTTGCAAAGCTTTTGATCACTAAATATATACAATTTCCTCTTATTTATTTAACTGAATTGATTTATTGGACTAAATTGAAGATTGAAAATGATTTGATTTGAGATATAATTGAAAATTGTGCCATATAAAAGAATACGAGGATTTAATATTTTCAATCTTTTACACGAATTTTAACCTATTTTTTAATTTATTTTTTTGACATAAGAGATAAATTAAAAACGCATTAAATTTTAAACAATTTTGTTTGAAAAGATGTTAATTATTCTCTTTTTTCTTAGATAATACATAGCTCGATGTTATATTAGCTGCAAAATATTATCATTAAGAATAACTTTTGATAACGAATAATTCAAATCTGTAATAAAATAACTAAATTGATAATAAACTATCTGACAGTAACATCAAAATAGAATATATAGTAAAACACCGAGAATATTATACGCATTTATATTACACACGATACGAAGATAAGTTAACAGGCATTATTAATAATAAACATTACACATAAATGATCTACCCTTTGAGCTTATTACATTTTTTTTATCGTTACTCCTCAATTTAGTGAGTAATAGGTAATCATTTCACGGTAATCGACCTCCCTATCATTTCGCGTAGTTAGAAACAAGCGAGCTAATTATAAAGATAGAAAGGTTTCGTGAGATCTTCGTGAGGAGAGTTTATCTCTCACGATATATGTATGTATGCTCGGAGAATACGATGCAAGAGGTAGTTGATATGAGGCGAGCGATTAAATAACATTTTTTAACGCCTTTCCTCGACAGCTGGACTTTGTTTCCCAAATGGTAGATTGCACTCTGACAAGCGTCCATTATCGCTTGCAAAAGAATAATGAAAATATTTACATACGAAGTCTATGTCTAACATTTGAAATAAAAAACATAAATTGCGTATCATTACAGCAATAATATTTTATTAGGAATAAATATATTATATAAAACATTGTCTCTTTATAACGCAATTTCTCGTAACAGACGCGTTAGGCACGTGATTCTTGATTTTAATGATGCACGCGAGGACAGATCGACGTTTTTTAACGATGCAATTTTGATTATTTAATTATAAATTGTGGAATATATATATTTTTTGCATCATTGCCTTTTTTGTTTTATTCTCGCGTACCGATCGATTCTTAAAATTTCCTTAAAAAATCGCTTATCGTCCCAACTAACGAGAGATATATCTTTTTATACTTTTAGCATTCATAAATTCGTCGATTTATCTGAAAATAGTCTATAAATCTACCTCGGGGACGAATTCAAAACTCCTCGTTCCGATTGAACGACCGAAGCCGCGCTTCAGTCTTTGTTCAGGTTATCGTGAGAAATTTCGGTCGCCGATACGGAAAAACATGTGCTCGTATCGTACGAAACTTATTGTGGACGATAGCCGGGCAATACTGGCAATACGGGCCGCTGGACGACCCGAGTCTCGGTCGCGTAAACAGGGTGTAATTAAAAAATGTCAGTAGCCGGTCTTTGTGTGCCGCGGGTGCATTGTATGTAGGCAGGCGTCCTTGCCGGAGTCGATTCGAAATCCTGTCTCGCGCGCGCGGGTTCGCATTAGCGAGGGCGTGGTTGGTCGGTTCGTTCCTGGTTCGAGGATAGCCAGCCTCGTATAGTAATTGCACCCAGACTCGTTTCCACCACACGACTTTTACGGTTTCGACTTCTCCCCGCGCTTCTCGCCTCTCTCTCTCTCTCTCTTCTTCTTTGCTGACGTCACGAAACTCACAACTGGATGTCACCTCGCGAAGATCTGCTCTGATTTTAAATAACACGACCGGTTATAACCTTCGACTTGATCACCGTTCGTTCACATTCGTAGTACGTTATCTGAAATTTTACCTGAAATCAGACATTCGATTGTGATTCGGGTTTCGAACGTCGCGAACAAGATACTTAATGTTGAAAGTTGCGAGAAAAGATGGCGGGACTTTTGTCCCGAGGCAAATGTGAAATATATTCGCGTGAAAAATACCATTCTTATTATCGCTGTAAAGGCTCTCTAAGCTGCCTCGTGTATTGTATGTGTTGTTTATGCATGAGGAAAGTTATAGATAATATATACGACACGTAAAGCTATTCACAGAGATATTTCTGTTCCTATACTTATCGATAGTACATAAATTATGCAGGAAACATTAAACGTCGAGCTCTTATTTTTTTTACAAAGCTAAAGCGGTTGTTGGTATTTATTATGATAAAAGTTCGCTATTTATTTTACACAACGTCGGAGATGAAGGTAGAACGCGTCTTTGATCGTTAACGCGAGGAACATTTTCGCGAGGTGAATTAAATCGATTTATTCGAGGACCAAGGTAACCCTCTCGGTTTTCTTGGAACTGCGACATCGCGTCTCCTCCTCTCTACATGCCCTTTCACCTTTCTTCTTTTCTTTCGTACAGCTTTGGTTTTGCAGGAGTCTTATATTTTATTTTCAATAAAAATCCCGTTTAAAATTTGTTAAATTAATTTCATTAATTAATCAACCGTTTCATTAACTATTTTAATAATTGTTGCACTTTTATTTTTTTCCTGTGACTTGAATTATATCTACCAAGTTTAAATTTGAAGATTTAAATTTCTCCAATTATAAATGTTCCGATATTATTCCGAAAGTTTTCAAAAAATTGTGACGAAATGAAAACAGAGTTAAAGAACGTGAATTCAGCAAATTTATGTTTTTATATTTGGTATTTGGTATATAATAATGTAAGACATCTAATTATTTACCCAAAATAATATCGCCCAACTGTAATGCAAGCCTGTGAAATCACCATTTTCCTGTCGCATGGAGATAAAATCCTCCAGGGTTTACAAGGTCCTGACACGCAATTTCTGAAAAACTTTCTAAATCGCGTTAGTTACTATCTGTCGGAGGGTTCGCAGTGTGTGCCAGTTTAACTTAGCGCGCGTGGCCGCGTGCGGAGTACCGTTCTCCCGTACTTAAGGGACACGAAAGGTCGTCGATATCGCTAACGCGCAAGCGGAGCGTAAGTCGCAAGTTGCGCAACCTCAGCCGGCCCTCGCAAGAGCGACGTCGGGTTGCGTGTCGGCGCCCGCGATCTACGGATCTAGGATCGATCTCGGGCTCGAAATCGAGGACATTAATCAGCGTTCGGCGGCGCTCGTACACGTGGGTGGCCGTTACTGACGCAAATCGCAAATGGCTCTTTCTCCGCTTGCTGCGTTTACCCGTGTTGCGCGAGGTAAATCGAGCGAGGTCGAATCTCCTTGGCGAGACAAGGCAGAGCGAGGCAGAGCGAGGCAGAGCGAAACACGGTGAAGCGAGAGCACTTGGATTTTCGAAAGGCGGTTTCAAAGGTCGATCGCCCCCTTCGATACCTTCCCATTGAGAAAGTAAACTCGTGCAGCTCATGCGCTCTTGCATAAAAAAAAAAAAGAAATGAAAAAAATTAAAAAGAAAGCGTTTCTCCGGGAAATGCCACGTGCGAGTTCCCACGATTTATCGTACGGCGCGTATATATATCGCGAATTCATTCGACCAACGTGCGAATAAATAATCGTCGAACGAATTGCCGCAGGTAAAAATCTGTCCTTTTACCTCTCAACCTCCGTTGTAAGCCTCGTTCAATTATCATTATTAGAAATCTGTTTGCCAAGGTATGTAAGACAAGACAAATTTACTTCTTTAGAGTTTACACGGTCAAATTCTACGAATTCTATATTTAATTAATTTATCCTTTATGTATAGGATCAAAATGATCCTAATGATTCGCATTTTCTCTCATCGCGATTTATTCTCCGTATGCGCGCTCATGCTGCAATGCATTCTGCTATACTAATTCGTGATAATTACAACGACCATTACACTGCGATATCCTTTGTCTTGTTGCTGAAACGAAGCGTTTGTCGCCTTTACCTCAAACCGTTTTCGAGATACTTTATTAACACGCAGTGTCTCGACACTCGTCGATTTTCATAGATCATAAAAGTCTTTTTTTTCTTCTTATAGAGTAGAATTTTTTCAATCCTCGATCGAACGACGAGTTTTCCGCGTCGTATAACAACGTAACAT